GCGGCCATCTTTTTAGATGTTTATCGAGCATTAGCATTAGCATTATTCGAGAGAGTCACCGCTCGTATATGCTCTGGAGAGCAGAAACAGCTGCGTAGGGGACATCGTCGCTGTACTCGGGTCCACCAGAACCTCCGGAGGGTTTCAAGAGTTTCACAATTTGCTCCAGGAGCTAGGTTTGGTGGACCTAATGGTGAGGATGCTGACGAGGACAGCGTAGGCCGTATAAGCCCTCGGCCTCGAGTGGTCTATTCCTGTCGAGCCCGCGCTCTACAGCCCGGCGCGAGGTTCACCCTCATCCGCATCCACCTAATCTGTCATTTATTTTTGTTTTGATAATAAACGAAGCCAGCCTCCAAAAGTGATTAATCTGTCCTGTGATTTTTTTCTCTCTCTCACACATCACTGTCCAGACACTAACTTATATGTTGGTTGTCTTTACATTATAATAATATTTCATATAATCTAGATATGGAATAAATAGCATTCAATACAAAATGAATATGTCTCATATATTGAAATCAAGTTTTATGTGATAAAATATTTGCTTTGTTGTGCATTAGAACCACAGTCATATATTACAAAATAATTTATTGAAGCATCCAGATACTTCACCACGTGACAGCAGCAAGCAGCTAGGCTCCTGATTGGTTAACGCGGCGCGAATTGACGCAGAAGTTCAGATTTTTCAACTCGGGCGGCAGACGCGAATTCGCGTCAAACGCGTGAATGCACAAATAGCACTAACTAAATCATTTGCGCGTAACGCGCTTAACGCGCCAGACGCTCAATTCGCGCGAACTTGACGCGCGAATGAGGCGTATTCGCGTCTACCGCGCCGCGCTCTACGCCTCATTCGCGCCGCAGGAATTTTTTACGCGCGTAACGCGTCTTTGCATTGACTTAACATTGAAATCACTCGCGCCTGACGCGCTATTCGCGTCCGGTGTGAACGCACCATTACAACAAACACACGAGTCTGCAGCCGACACTTTCAAAGTGAAGACGTGATGAGCCTCTGACTCCAGCTGGGCGGAGACGTCTAAAGAAGGGAGCTGTTCCCGTGCTTTTTCAGTGGAACAATTTCAGTCTGCCAGCCCCACGGCCCGGAGTTTGGGAAAGGACCGATCGTCCCAATACAGAAACCACGCACGATCCATCTGTGGAATTGGACTATCCTCCTGACCATGACTACTGCGACAGTAGTGAACCTGCTGCGCTGGATATGTCTCTTAACCGCACTGAAGAACTTCATGAAGAGATAGCAAGACTCAGAAACGTAATAGAGGAGATATCTATCAGCAACAAGTTCTGCTTGGAGCGGTTTGCTGGATCAGATGATGACAGAAGGTTCTTCACAAGGTAAATTAAAATGTCCACCTTTGTTTAATATAGATGTTTTAGAGCTTTCAACATTGCTTAGTATTATTAAGCCTATCTGTTTAAATGTTGCATGTGTGATGTGTGTTGTAAGCTACTGGAAACCTTGAATTTCCCTCGTGATGAGAAAAGTATCTATCTAAAACTATCTAGATCTATCTACTAGTGCATTGTATTTTAAAATACTGAGAAGAGCAGTAAGCAAAAGGACTGACGTGTGTGGTCCAGTTTCTGACCTGAGTGCCTAAATGTTCTAGGATGTTTACAGTAACTGTCAATACAGATGCTAACATGCTTGCAATATAATGTTGTGTATGGGCACTTAATGTAATGTAATGAAATGTAACACCTATGTCCCACAGATTTAGGTTTTATACTGTATTAGGCTACCACTGTTCAGCTTTCGTGAAAACCACAAAGGTGCTCTCTTAGAAATGGTCATCAAAGCTGAAATGTGGTAACATTAAACGAGTAAAACTTTTGTTGAACAGAACCTTAAACAAGTTCAACAGAACTTTTGAACGTGTCACTTAATCTAGTCCTACTTTCAGCTGGTGTGGTGGCTTTAGCTTCTTAATTGAGCGGTAGCAGTGGGCTCTCACAGATATCTCATTTGTTGCCCTATTTTTACCTGATGCTTTAATAAAAGTACAAACACATGAAGTGAGAGGTATATACACATAATTAAACTTTATTTAAAGCATGATTAACCTGAAGCAGGACGGAGTCATGACTTAAAACACTACGCTAAAACGCTAGCTAGCGTTAGCAAATTACTTTCAAAGTTGCAAAGAAATAAAGAAACGTAAAATTTAAAGCCTTTATCTAATTTGCTGCGTGGTGTTGTCGTACTGGATAACCGGACGATCCTCCGGATATCGTTAACAGACACTTTGGCAACTCCAGCAAACACCTTGTGAACTTCGTCTCTGCCATCGTAAATGTCGACTGTCACTGTTTAATGTTTTCTTCCGTTAACCGGAAATGTCCAAACATCCTTACGCCAATGCGGAAGTGATGCGTGCATAGACGAGCCGAGCCGAGCACTTTACGAGCACCTCCCGACCTCCTGATCATTTTTAAACATGTTTCTAATACGCATGCTAACACACACGCTGCTTTATTTAATAGTGAAGCCTGAGTCTCTTCCACCTGTATGAAACACATTTACACATGTATTTCTCCTCATAGACAGCAGTGAGACTCTTCTGTGGATCACCTGATGGTTTCTGCTCCTCTCATCTCCGTTTCACAGATTTAAACCATGATGTAAATCCACTGACGTTTGGTAATCGATCTTCATCTACTCTGTAAAGTGGAACAGAAGAGAAAACAATCAGTGTTCAGTGGAACAAAGTGCAAATTATTATATTTCAATTACTGTTTATTGAGTAAAAATAAGTTAAATTGAAATCCTGTAATCAGATTAATTACCGACTTTAAATTATCTTGCTGATATTTGTGTTTTTAAATATAATAGATGTAAAACCTGAATCATGTTCATATATGTGTGTGTGTGTGTGTGTGTGTGTGTGTGTGTGTGTGTGTGTGTGTGTGTGTGTGTCGGTGCGACTGCTATTGAGTCTCTGTAAAGGAGAAACTAATGAGTGTACGGCGTATGGAATAAACCACAGGGAGCAAATACTAATGTTATTTTGAGTTAAACACAAACCTTTAGTTAAAGCCGTTTGTCCTCTAGTTTAAACATGTTTGTAGGCTCTTAGTAAATAACTGAGAGTAAAGTAAGTGTAGAGTAGTGTGACGTGTTGCTTGTCACAGTAAAAACACACTAGAGACAGAGACATTGCTCATGTGAGCTGGACGCTGTGAGCTGAAGCTGGAACTGCACTGATTTTAGCAGGAGTGCAGCGTTTCCTACAATCTGACCAAGTCTGTTTTCACACTGAAATGATTCACTTCTACTGACACAGTTCATAAAGCAGGTGTTGATGTATAAAGCTGTGACAGTGAGCTTTTCTTCTCTTTCCTCCTTTGAACATTTCAATAACTTCACATTTTGTTCTCACACAAACCCTTTGTTGCAACAAATCTAAATGATAATTTCCTTTCACGAATGTTTGAAAGGATTGTTCACATATCAGAGGTAAATGAAGATCTCTTTAATATCTCAGTGATGTTTCCTCACCTCAGGACACAGTTTGAGTCTCGTAGCTCGTCTCTGAGTTGCTGCTTTGAGTCTCCTATCTCATTGTCTCTCAGATCAAGCTCTTTTAAAAACTGCAGTGCTTTTGAGTTAGTCAAAGACTGAGTTAAAGAAGAAACATCTGTAATGCCACAGCGCTGTAGACTAGAGAGACACAAACAGAGGAAGAGAGATTATCTAGATTACAAACAAATCATGAATGTGAAGAATTTTACACAGATATAATGTGAACTCAGACTCACTGTCAGATATTGAGAATAAAGTATTTTAGTTTAATAAACCCAGAAAGTGCACTGCTATAACCAATGAAACATAAGCCCTGCTGTCTTCAAATAAATAAACTTCAGTCACACTGTAATTGCTGTACAGTATAATGACACTAACTGTAGTTTCTCCAGCTTGAATTGTGGGTTCATCAGTAGATCACTGAGGTTTTTCACTCCAGAGTCTCCTAGTTTATTCCCGCTCAGGTTCAGCTCTCTCAGGTGTGACGGGTTTGATTTCAGAGCTGAAGTCAGGATGAGACTTTCTCTGTAATACTGCATCTATACAGACTGAAGACAGAGAAATAACAAGTTTACATCTATGAAGATCATCTTATTGAAGAGCTACAGCAGCATTTAGTTTCCAATAGTCTGTTTTAAAACCCAGTCACACTAGTTCTGTGCGCTGGAAGACACTGTTTCTTCTCTTTCATTTTTAACTATTTATTTGACGTCTCTCTTCTTTATTCTCTGTTGAAAAGGCAGATTTCTGCATGTACACAATCAGTACATTGTATCAAATGCTGGGAATTAAACAATTACTATCTAGATAAAAAACACATAAAAATGTGAGCAATAGGGAAACCCAGAAAGTGCACTGCTATAACCAATGAAACATAAGCCCTGCTGTCTTCAAATAAATAAACTTCAGTCACACTGTAATTGCTGTACAGTATAATGACACTAACTGTAGTTTCTCCAGCTTGAATTGTGGGTTCATCAGTAGATCACTGAGGTTTTTCACTCCAGAGTCTCCTAGTTTATTCCCGCTCAGGTCCAGCTCTCTCAGGTGTGACGGGTTTGATTTCAGAGCTGAAGTCAGGATGAGACTCTGTTTCTCTGTAATACTGCATCTATACAGACTGAAGACAGAGAAATAACAAGTTTACATCTATGAAGATCATCTTATTGAAGAGCTACAGCAGCATTTAGTTTCCAATAGTCTGTTTTAAAACCCAGTCACACTAGTTCTGTGCGCTGGAAGACACTGTTTCTTCTCTTTCATTTTTAACTATTTATTTGACGTCTCTCTTCTTTATTCTCTGTTGAAAAGGCAGATTTCTGCATGTACACAATCAGTACATTGTATCAAATGCTGGGAATTAAACAATTACTATCTAGATAAAAAACACATAAAAATGTGAGCAATAGGGAAACCCAGAAAGTGCACTGCTATAACCAATGAAACATAAGCCCTGCTGTCTTCAAATAAATAAACTTCAGTCACACTGTAATTGCTGTACAGTATAATGACACTAACTGTAGTTTCTCCAGCTTGAATTGTGGGTTCATCAGTAGATCACTGAGGTTTTTCACTCCAGAGTCTCCTAGTTTATTCCCGCTCAGGTCCAGCTCTCTCAGGTGTGACGGGTTTGATTTCAGAGCTGAAGTCACATCAGAACAACCTTCATCTGTCATATCACAGTAGCTTAACCTACATTAGCAGAGAGAGAGAGAGAGAGAGAGAGAGAGAGAGAGAGAGAGAGAGAGAGAGAGAGAGAGAGAGAGAGAGAGAGAGAGAGAGAGAGAGAGAGAGAGAATGAAGAAAATAAGAGACTCTTTATTCTGTAAAGTCACATCATCTTCATCAGCAAATAAAACAGACAGAGGAAGAGAGATCTTCATCTTTATTTCACCAGATCACAAAATACTAAGGTGAAAATGTTTGTACAAATATAATGTTAATGTGTTCTAGTTTAAACAGTTGAAGTGATTTAAAGCATTTTGATTCTTGTATGTGAATGTGACTGACCTCAATCTCTCCAGTTTACAGTGTGAATCCTTCAGTACGGCACATAAGTGCTTCACTCCTGAGTTTCCTAGATTATTCCAGCTCAGGTTCAGCTCTCTCAGGTGTGACGGGTTTGATTTCAGAGCTGAAGTCAGGATGAGACTCTGTTTCTCTGTAATACTGCAATCACTCAGACTGAAGACAGAGAAATAACAATAGTTCACATCTATGATGATCATCTATTGAAGAGCTACAGCAGCATTTAGTTTCCAATAGTCTGTTTTAAAACCCAGTCACACTAGTTCTGTGCGCTGGAAGACACTGTTTCTTCTCTTTCATTTTTAACTATTTATTTGACGTCGCTCTTCTTTATTCTCTGTTGAAAAGGCAGATTTCTGCGTGTACACAATCAGTACATTGTATCAGATGCTGGGAATTAAACAATTACTAACTACACTCTAAAAAGTTTTATATGATTTACTAATTTTTTTTGGTGAAACATTTTTACTCAAAAATATTGATTCAATTTTAAAGCAGTGAAATAAATTACAATACACTGTATAAACTGAGTAAATGTAAGTAAAAAAAATGTAGATCTGAGTAACTGAATCTGGTACATTAACAAATAAAATTGAGTAGAAATAATTGTGGAAAAATATAAAAAATATCAATATTTATGAGTAATATTAACTTTTTTATTTTCTCTAAACCTTTGTGAAATAGTATTCTGTACAACCACCGGTAGCTGTACATGACATTGGCCTTTATTGTCGATGAGTAACGTTACATCAATACGGCATATTTTACACTGTTTTAACATGTATACAACATTGCCTAAATATCACCCAAATTAGTTATATTCATTATCTTTAGGAATAAAGTCGTGTGTTTTCTGCAAGCCATCAGACATTTCAATCAGCGAAAAGACAGACGTGACACTCGTTTAGGTGACTCACATTGAGTCCCAGTATGTTGTTTTGCATTACATAAAATGATTTAAAACACAGTAATGATTTTATAAAATAAAAGATAAAATAAAACACACACACACCTGAATTTCACAGAGGCACATTCACAGAGGCATTGTTTTAACTGAGTAAATCTGCTCAATCTCTCAAGAGTGTGTTAAATATATTAATAATACTGTATTTATTTGTGGATCTTGAAACATATCAGTTTAATTCTCAATTCTCAAATATTTTGATAGAAATTTCACAAATATCTTAAAGCTGCAGTCCGGCGTTTTTCCTCTTTGTCGCCATCTCTGTTCGAAATCTGCAATTGCAGTCATTCGCAGAATTATCCACTTTACGTGAGTTGTACTTCAACACCATCGACACGGCACAGAGCGGATGAACACAGTGTTTGAGGAGAGTGTGTGTGTCAGTCACCGCGCCGGTGCTGATACTGGCATTCACTGGCATGGGTCCGGTTAAAGTCTCTTTTTTTCTGTAGCCGCTCCGAAGTCTGAACGAAGTCTTCTGCATGTTACAGCGGGTGAATCTGTTGTCACTGGTGATCCGCGTTTTAACCTTTCTGGATCCGCCATCAAATTGATAAGTTTAATTATATCAAGTGCTGTGAGAAAAGGCTATAAATCTCCACCTCCAACATCCTCACACACAATATAGCCTACTAGCCGAGACTCTTCTTTATGTCTACAGATGTGTGTGTACAGATGTGTGTGTACAGATGTGTATGTGTGTGTGTGCAGATGTGTGTGTACAGATGTGTGTGTGTACCAGTGTTGTGCAAGTTACTTCCAAACTGTAATACATTATATATTACTTGTTACTGTTATTTAAAAGTAATTCATTACCTTACAATATTACTGTCTCAGAATTGTAATGCGTTACATTACTCCTGTATTACTTTTGAGTTACTTTCACCAAAATAACTATACAGAAGTAGAACTTAACATTCTAAATGACTAGGGCTGTAACGATATGCGATATGAAACCGCATATCCATACCGTCCAGATCCAATGCTACCACATCTTTAAATTACTATTAGTATTATTTGAAGTTAACTTAACATTATAAAATACTTAGACCTACAGCACAAAACTAGTTGAGGATAAATTATTTAAAATTTGGGAATTCCAGCGTTATAGGGTCACTCCACCCATTTGCATTAAGAGGTCCATTGTTAGACAACCAGTCATACTATTGAATGGTCGTGCAACATTCTTTCATTTTCCCCTGAGACGAGAGAAATCTACTATTTACCTTTTTCACTTCCTCCTACAATGACGCAAAAATCGTCATTTGACGTCATTGTAGGAGGAAGTGTAAAAAGGGGGGATTTCTGTATAGACTACAAGCACAAATTCCCACCCTTTCAAACCCGCCCATAGGGGGTTGTGCCTAATGCGCTAACAGAGCTATCACAGATCAGTGGGTGGGACTTCACTTGCAGATACTGAAAGCAATATCAGCCATCTTGTTTATAAGCTAAGCTAACAAGCGCTGTGGATATAGGAAGTTACGACAATGACGGAAGAAACTAAACATGATATGGAAGTAGAGGATTTTGAAATTCTGCTGCTCGAATCCGCTCTTCGTGGCTATCTTTACGAGCCGCAATATAGTGAAGAGCAGCTGAGGCTGATGGAGGACCAGGAGGCGGCTGCCTGTCGCGAACGAGGAGCCCGGACTGGGTCGAGCTGAGGCGGGCTGCTGGTGCGTGTGCTCTCGCTGTGCGCTACGGACACAGATAGAGTCCGTCTGCTGCAGAGAATTTCAACGATCGCAATTTCTCCTAGACGAAATCTCTGAATCAGACGACCACACGGACGTTTGTGTTGTGATGTGAACCATCCTAGTTTCGCCTGACTGAAAATCCAGGTATCATGCAATAATTCACCATATAGAAAGAAATACAAACGAGTAATTCACTAATGAGTTTGCCAATGTAACGGGGTTCGTTGTTGTGGGAAGAAGGAGGCTGGAACCGGCGAACATTTAAACATTTTAATAGTAAAATAAACAAATACAAAACAAAAGTATAAGCCAGCTGGCCACACACAACAGAAACAAAACATAAAATCAGGCCTGTTCCTTTTGTGCTTCCGCTCCTCCGTGAGAGATATGAGACCGCTGCACAGGTGCCATTCATTATCACTCGCGTCGTCCTCTCACGTCCCTCGCCCTCGTCCTGCTCGCCACAGCCAACTAACTAGACATTTTTTGTGAAATGAATTTCAAACTCATTTAGCAGCTAGCCTTCTTGTAGACGGAAGAGTGATTTCTCTCTGATGTTTGCGCTGTTCTGGATTAGTGGGAGTGGCTTGCGGAGCTGTGCAACGTGGTGCATTGTGGGAGTTGTTGTCTTACATACAAATGCGCCCTAAAGTTATTTTCTGTCTTTTCTCGGTCAAGAGGGCACCAAATTCAAAATTTCTTTTACATTTCGACTACATATATAACCCACTTTCAATAAAGATTAATGTTGAAATGGGTGGAGTGACCCTTTATGGACATGACATTTGCAGTCAAAACTTGAAATATAAATTCTCAGAAAATGCATTAATACCAAAATATTTAAACGTCTGTTTATCCATAGGCTCCTCCCTGAAAGGAGTCCAGACTGTGTGTTTGTGGCAGTTTTCCAAAATATTGAAACGTCTGTTTATCCATAGGCTCCTCCCTGAAAGGAGTCCAGACATTAGAAAAATATCAGTCTACACATGCGTTTTATATTTAATATTAGGGAAATAGACAGTCATGCGTGACAAAAAAAAATCTTTAACTTTTAGGAGGCAACGATTTTTTTTTTTGTGTGTGTAATTCTGTGAATTACACTGCGCAAATCGGATGAAGAAGGGTTGGCTCTCCACAGAACATAAAATATTCATTTTATTTTATTTTCGTGTTCGCATTTATGAGGAAAAAACAATGTTACAGACGTGACAGTTCTCCATTACGGACGCGACCGCTGAAGCGGCACTAAAAGACTGCTTTAAAACTTTCACAGAGACCTTACACAGAAGACACAAAAGCCTTTCTTTAAAGTGAATTTCATTTTGTATTAATTGTATCTTAATTGTAATCAATGTTTCATCAACCAATTACTTGGATAAGTTGGATTTAATAAATAAGAAGTAGGCTAAATATAGCAGACAATTATAGATAGGCCATCACGACACGGAGGTGAACTGGAGCGCGTCTCATAAATGAACCGAAAATCAGCGTATAAGGTAGCCTATTCACGGACCCGAAAAATATATCTATATTGAAATGTCTACTTGTAAACAGAACAATTCAAAACGAATGAAAACAGACTCTGCTTATGAAATGAAATGCGCACATCTCTTCATGATGAAGAACATTCGCGAGATGGACGTTCATGCCATCTTCACCATTAACCGCTTTTCCACTGGCCAGCGTAAGCACAGAGGCCGAAATCATACTTCACGGCACTCCTGTAAAAAATAAATCGCTATACAAATATATCAGACGCTGCCATTTAGTCTTTATATACAGACTTGGACCACACGCGGCTATTGACTGACCACGAACAGGTAATTTAGCCTACTTGCATTTTTCATTCGTTAATGTCTCGCGGTCTTGCTGTTTTTTTTTTGTTATGTTTTACAATTAAAACTAAAAGTCTGTTGTAACGCAAGTCTTACTGAACATGTACCGAGTAAAATATTACTGAAAATTGGTTAGTAATGCCTTACACTACTGCGTCACAGCAAAAAGTAATATGTTACTGTAATGCATTACTTTTGTAACGCGTTACTCCCAACACTGGTGTGTACAGATGTGTGTGTGTACGGGTGTGACGTAATGACGCAAAGACATGCTCGAATCTCCCGCTGAAATCCACCAGTACCACTGGAATTAAAAACATTATTACAAGCTTACCGCTTTGAATCGAGCTACGGCAAGCAGAGAGTTTTGAACACTGGCTGGTTATGTATTTTCTCAAATATGTATTTTGGATAATTTTTAACCCCAAAAATCTACGGACTGCAGCTTTAAGTGTATTATAAATAAATAATTGGTTAGTCAAATATTAAATTCTTTTAGTGAAATTTTTTTTATATAACTGTACATTTTAGATGAAATGAACTGTTGGATCAATTATAATAATAATAATTAATAATAATTCATTACATTTATATAGCGCTTTTCTAGGCACTCAAAGCGCTTACTTTTGACACATTAAACACATTATTTTTGTATGTTTAACTCAAACAATCAAATAAATGATATTCAGAGATTTTATTAAGTTAATAAAGTTAAATATTACTGTGATATTTACTAAGCCACAGAATAATTACACAGAGTGTAGATAAACAAAACACATACAAATGTGAGCAATAGGGAAACCCAGAAAGTGCACTGCTATAACCAATGAAACATAAGCCCTGCTGTCTTCAAATAAATAAACTTCAGTCACACTGTAATTGCTGTACAGTATAATGACACTAACTGTAGTTTCTCCAGCTTGAATTGTGGGTTCATCAGTAGATCACTGAGGTTTTTCACTCCAGAGTCTCCTAGATTATTCCCGCTCAGGTCCAGCTCTCTCAGGTGTGACGGGTTTGATTTCAGAGCTGAAGTCAGGATGAGACTCTGTTTCTCTGTAATACTGCAGCTATTCAGACTGAAGACAGAGAAATAACAATAGTTCACATCTATGATGATCATCTTATTGAAGAGCTACAGCAGCATTTAGTTTCCAATAGTCTGTTTTAAAACCCAGTCACACTAGTTCTGTCAGTCAGTGCCGTGATCCTCAACTACAAGTTCATTGGTGAATTCCTCCTCCTCGTCGCTCTCCTCCACTTCTCCCTCTCCGGCCTCCGCTAACTCCTCCTGCCTCGCTTGCGCTAACAGCTCCGCCCAGATGCGCAGGGCTCTCTTGCGTGCGCAATCTGCACCATAACGAACTGGCTTAAACAGACGATCTGACGGGTTTTAGAAGATTAAATACAACCCGAAACTAAAAAACAGACCAGGCCTTTATTTGAGACCGGCCTTTATTTATCCAAACCTGTCGCCACACCAGGCGTGTAAAAGAGACGGGCGTCTATTTGGGACTCGGCTATTATTTGAAGTTTTACGGTATGCGTGGTAATTCTGAATAATGTCCCTAGGGGCACCTCATATTTTCGGTTGCAAATTGATGTTCACAGGCCCACAGTGCTTTTGGCTGGATTTGTGCGCAAAAAACGTGCCAAAAGTGTAAGCGAGGAAAAATGAAAGTCAGAAGAATACAGATCCTATTTATTTTGCATAAACATGAAGCTGCAGCTTCAAAATACATGAATTACACTTACGAATACGATTAAAATGCTGCAAATGTTTTTTTCTTACACTTGATAGGCGATTTACACTTTTACAAATCTTCTCTTGCGCATGCAAATTTAATTCACACTTGCAATCTTAAGTACAATTTCACAAATCTTACCCTGCGCATGCGATTCTTTAGGGGGCGACACGTGACTGTCTTTATGAGTGAGCAATTACACCATTAATTGAACTGATTAGTCCAAAAACATTGATTAATTCAGGAAAGAAACGAGTTGCTGAAACTGATCTTTGATGCTCATACATATTGCTCATATGCCTCTGGACACAGAAGGATTGCATTGGCGTTTGACTGAAATGTAACATCTATGCAAAATAATCATTGAATCATTTCTCATTCCTGTTTGGAATAAGTGATTGTGTTTGTCAACAATAAGCATAACATTTCTGCATTTCAATTTTGTAGTGTGGATCATTCATTGCAACATTTAACCTGATTCTCATGTTTAAGAATCTGTTTTCTGCTTGACAAATAATGTATGCTACTGCCCACTGACATGCTTTTAAAGCTATTGATATCCAATTGTTTTGTCCTTCAAACACCTTAAATTGCACATGTTCAGATCAGGAAAATCTAAATTTCCCCTGAACCCCCCTAGCAACATCAATTTTGGGGCCTCAGTTTTTATAAAAAACGACACACGCTGGCCAAAAACTGCATAAAAACACCTTCTACAAACCCATTACAAATGTTTTATTGAAAGTAAAATCTATCAAATGCAATTAACTAATAATCTAATATGATTAAATATCAAGTGTCTGTATAATATGTGCTCTTTTATCAATTTACAGTGCTTGTTTTATTTATTTTATGGATAGCTCAGCTAAAAATGCCAATAAGAGACTATTAACTACTATTATTTCTTTTAATTACGCTAATGTCTAATTAAAACATCTACAAATGAGTAAAACTGATCAGGGATCAGGTTAAACCCACAGACACTTGTTCAATCTCAGTAAATCTGCATGATTAATGGGTTCACAGAGATCATCTTCCCCCAGCGGTGAACCACTGACATTTCATAACGTTTTGAAACAGTTATGACGTAACTAATCCTCGTTTCCTGAAATCATGTGACTTTGGCAGTTTGATACACGCTCCGAAACACTGATTCAAAACAAAAGATTCGGAAAGGTTTCGTATCTTCATGAAGCGTGTTTCGAAAGCGCCCATCACTAGCGTTCAGTGGATCTTATTACAGGCAGATACTGATCACAGACTTTTAAAATGCACTTGTTCAATTTTTACAAGTTACAGTATATGCTGCAGCAAAATTAGACATTTTACATTTTGGGAAACTGAAATAATTATTGACCCATGATCCATGGATCTTAACCAAAATATTTAAAGCTTGATTTCACGTTTTAATTGTGTATTTTTAATTTGCCGTTTAATTTTTTTACTTTAAACTGTTGTGGGTCTGTGTGACGCTGAGGAAAAAAACTGCTCTGACTCAAACAAGTGAGGAAATATTATCATCAGCTAACATTGCAACTAAAAGTAAAGTAATATTATAAATAAATGAGCAATACTCACGTCAGTGTGTTGAGTCGACAGTGTTTATCCTGCAGTAGAGCAGCGATCTGATTCACTCGTGTGTCTCCTAGTTTATGATCAATCAGATTCAGCTTTCTCTGGAGAAACGGGTTTTCACCCACAACTCTATTCACATACTGACAGGCTTCCTCTGCAGCAGGACTCAAAAACCTGCAGAACAGTCAATTCAGTTCTCAAATAAATGTCTGTTGCATTACAAAAAAGATTGATACGATACATTTTTTTTTTTTTTTTTTATTAATCTAAAACATTTAAATACACAAATAAATATAAATTTTAAAGAAACTAGAGCGACACTCAGTCCTAAAGCAAACTCATAAGAATAGAAACGTCTCACGAGCAGAGGGGCAAAAGCTCACTAGATCATGGTTCCCCTTCAGTCGCTCACGTTCGACGTTCGACATTAGGGGATCACTTCAGGGAGCCCTATCAACTTCGAGTATCTAAAGAACAAGCCAATGAACGTTGGCGTGCGTGAACGCGTCACGCGCCCCTGCCCCGCAGCGCGGGTATAAAACAGGAAGTGGGCGCGCGCACCCACTGTCTTTCATTTCGGAGCCGAGTTCTCTGGGACTTCTGTCTAAAAGGATTCAGCGCTTTGACGACTTCAAAGGAGATCTCTCTGCCTGCAGTGTTGGTGTGACGGCGCGATCAGCGGTGGCCGCGAGCAGTGCAGCTCTCAACTGCTGTTCTCACAGCACTATTGTTTGTGTGTGTGTGTGTGTGTGTGTGTGTCCACACAGTGGCTACCCCTGGGCGCCTTAGCACTGTGAGAGCATTTTCCAACCTTTTTTATTTTACTAAAAGAGCAACACAAGCGGACCCTGCGTCTTTTTCAAGATGTCATTCCGCTTGTGCGTTTCTGGATGCCGTCGTTCCCTGGTGCCAGCAGTTGGCCACAATAGCTGCATCTCGTGTTTGGGCATTCAACACGCTGAGGCAGCTTTTGTGGATAGTTCATGTTCCCATTGTGGGAATATGACTATCGCAGCACTTAGATCGAGACTCGCTTACCTCAAGGGAGGTGCAGTCCCCTCGCCTATGCCCCGATCTAGTGCTTATTCTGCCCCGCAGAATAGGCCTACTTCGGCGCATGGCCAGGGTGATCTGAGGATCACCGTGAGGGCTTCCCCGCCGGGGCAATCTCCGCGGGCTCCTCACGCCTCTCAGGTGCTGTTGCCATCGGCGCCCCTTTGTGAACGGCTCGGTCCTTCTCCGGAACGACCAGTTGTTTCCTTTGGGGCGCCAGCTGACAATCAGATGTCGATCGCAGCATCGGAGGGGGAGCAGTCCTCTGGAGATGACGACTCGGCTGCGTTGCCCCCTTCGGGGTGTGTAGCGTTGTCCGAGCCTGATCCAGAATGGGCGGCTAAGCTTTCCCGGGCCGCCGAGAAGGTCGGGCTTGCGTGGAATCCTCCACCACGTCCCGAACCTTCTCGGGTTGGACGATTGGTTTCTCGGGGAGGGCCATGCTGGTTCTCAGTGCGCCGCCCCGGTACCTTTCTTTCCGGAGGTGCATGAGGAGCTTTCTAGGACGTGGAAGGCACCGTATAGTGCCCGAAGCCGTTCTAGTGGCTCCTCTCCCCTTGCCACCCTCGACGGCGGGGCAGCTAAGGGGTATGTGGAGATCCCCCCAGTGGAGCGGGCTGTCGCGATGCAGTTGTGTCCGGCGTCCGCCTCCTCCTGGCGGGGTAATCCACGCCTCCCGTCCAAGGCCTGTAAGTTCTCGTCCGGTCTAACGGCGAGGGCTTACAAGGCCTGTGGACAGGCTGCTTCCGCCCTCCATGCCATGGCGCTCTTGCAGGTCCACCAGGCCCAGGCGCTCATGGACATGAACGAGGGTGGTTCTGACCCAGAGCTCCTCCGGGAGATCCGTGTGGCAACTGACCTCGCCCTCCGGGCGACGAAGGAAACCGCACGTTCAGTCGGTCAGGCGATGTCCACCTTGCTGGTCCAGGAGCGCCACCTTTGGCTCAACCTGGCGGACAAGAGGGACACCGATAAATATCGGTTCCTGGATGCCCCTCTCTCCCAGGTTGGGTTGTTCGGCGACGCGGTCGAGAGCTTTGCCCAACAGCTCTCGGCCGCACAGAAGCAGACGGAGGCCATTCGACACATCCTGCCCCGGTGGACCGCTGCTGCTCCCACCCGTCCGCCGGCCGCAGCCCCTCCGTCTACTCGTCGCCGAGGTCGGCCTCCTGCAGCGTCCTCCGCTCCCGCTAAGCCCCAGCAGCAGCAACCATCCAGGCCTCAGCGTGGAGCAAGCCGCAGGAAGCCGACGCCGCCCGTCCAGGCCGCTGCCAATCCAGGAGGCAAGCGTCGGTGCAAACGACCCTGAGACGGGCGGCCCAGAGGTGGATCAAGTTGCTCTTCAGGAGATGACGAACGTGCCACTCCTTCCCCCAGTGGAGGGCCGGGCGGAGAATCCTTTGTTTCCTTTTCTTTTTGTTCCGGCGGGTCAGTGGTACCCACCTTTTCAAAGAAAGAGCAATTTCTGAAACCTCTGGGCCCCAAGAGGGAGCGCTTGGCAGTCAAGGACGCTATGCCTTGTCACTCCCGAGCCCCTCTTTCATCGCCAGCGGGCAGCAGTGGCTGTGTCCTGGACGCAGTATCGCCTCCGCACACTCACTCTGTCCTCCGACGGAAGCAGGTACGTTTTGCACCACACGTTCAGACCCCACTCCAGGCCGCTATCCCGCCCGAGTCGGGTCCCCGCATTCCGCCACACTGCCCGACTCCGGGTACGTCTGTGGTGCCGTTGGTCACGCTTGCTCGGTCTCTGGGAGCTTGGTTAACGCTTCCCAGCCCGTCTCGCTGGCTCATCCGTACCATCAGACTAGGCTATGCGATTCAGTTCGCTCTGCGCCCCTGTTGTTTTCGAGGGCATCCTGTTCACCCGTGTTCTGGCGGAGAGTGCCCCTGTTCTCAGGGTGGAGATTGCAGTCCTACTGGCGAAGGACGCAATCGAGCCAGTCCCTCCAGCCGATATGAAGATCGGCTTCTACAGCCCGTACTTCATTGTACCCAAGAAAGGAGGTGGGTTACGGCCAATCTTGGACCTGCGCATCCTGAATCGGTCCCTTTACAGGCTACCGTTCAAGATGCTAACGCAGAAACGCATTTTCAAATGCATCCGTCCCCAAGATTGGTTTGCAGCGATCGACCTGAAGGACGCGTACTTTCATGTCTCGAATCTCCCTCGACACAGACTGTTTCTTCGCTTTGCGTTTGAGGGACGGGCATATCAGTACAAAGTCTTACCCTTCGGGCTGGCCCTGTCGCCCCGTGTCTTCACGAAAGTCGCAGAGGCGGCCATTGCTCCCATGTGCGAGCGTGGTGTTCGCATTCTCAACTACCTCGACGACTGGCTTATTCTCGCCCAGTCGAGAGAGCAGTTGTACGAACACAGGGACATGGTGCTCAGTCACCTCAGCCACCTAGGGCTTCGGGTCAACTGGGAAAAGAGCAAACTCACCCCCGGGCAGATGATCTCTTTTCTCGGTATGGAGTTGGACTCGATCAACATGACAGCGCGCCTCCCCGAGGCCCGCGTCCAGTCAGTGTTGAACTGCGTGAGTACGCTCATACGCAGAACAGCGGCACCACTGAAACTATTTCAGAGGCTCCTGGGGCATATGGCATCTGCAGCCGCGGTTACGCCGCTCGGATTGCTTCATATGAGACCGCTCCAACACTGGCTCCACGATCGAGTCCCGAGATGGGCGTGGCAGAGCGGCTCGTGCCGGGTTCCAGTGACCCCGCACTGTCGCCAAACTCTCAGCTTGTGGTCGGACCCTTCGTTCCTGCGGGCAGATGTTCCCCTAGAACAAGTGTCCAGGCACTCTGTGGTCTCCACGGATGCCTCTATCACCGGCTGGGGGGCCACGTACAACGGGCATGCAGTTTCAGGTCTGTGGACGGGGCCTCAACTGCATTGGCACATCAACTGCCTCGAGTTGTTAGCAGTACATCTTGCGTTGGGCAGCTTCAAAACGTCGCTACATGGCAAGCATGTACTGGTCCGTACGGACAACACTGCGACCTTTGCATACATCAACCGCCCAGGGTAGTCTACGCTCCCGCCGCATGTCACAACTCGCCCGCCATCTCCTCCTTTGGAGTCAGAAGCATCTGAGGTCGCTTCGTGCCGTTTACATTCCGGGCCTGCTCAACCGTGCAGCCGACGAGCTCTCACGGCAGCAGGTGCTACCGGGAGAATGGCGACTCCATCCCCAGGTGGTCCAGCTGATTTTCAGGCGCTTCGGGACCGCACAGATAGATCTGTTCGCCGCCCCGGACACGTCTCACTGCCAGTTGTTCTATTCCCTGACCGAGGGGACCCTCGGCACGGATGCTCTGGCACACAGCTGGCCCCGGGGTCTTCGCAAGTATGCGTTTCCCCCAGTGAGCCTTCTGGCACAGACCCTGTGCAAAGTCAGGGAGGACGAGGAGCAGGTCTTGTTAGTTGCACCGTATTGGCCCAACCGGACCTGGTTCCCGGAACTAGTGCTCCTCGTGACAGCCCCTCCCTGGCCCATCCCTCTGAGAGAGGACCTGCTCTCTCAGAGACGGGGCACCCTGTGGCACCCGCGTCCAGACCTCTGGAAGCTCCATGTCTGGTCCCTGGACGGGACGCGGAGGTTCTAGGTGACCTATCCCCAGCGGTAGTTGACACCATCACTTCCGCTAGAGCCCCCTCTACGAGGCGCCTCTATGCATTGAAGTGGAACCTATTCGTTGACTGGTGTTCTTCTCACGAGGAGAACCCCCAATCTTGCTCGATCAGAGCCGTGCTTTCCTTCCTGCAAGATGGGTTGGAGCGAAGGCTGTCTCCCTCCACCCTTAAAGTGTATGTTGCCACTATTGCCGCACATCACGACGCTGTTGATGGTAAGTCTTTGGGGAAGCACGACCTGATCGTCAGGTTCCTGAGGGGAGCGAGGAGACTGAATCCTCCTCGCCCACTCTCTATACCCTCTTGGGATTTGTCTCTGGTCCTTTCGGCACTTCAGAGACCACCCTTTGAGCCTCTGCAATCAGCTGAGTTAAAAATCTTGTCTTGTAAGACAGTTCTCCTGGTTGCATTGGCCTCTATCAAGAGGGTAGGGGACCTGCATGCATTTTCGGTCGACGAATCGTGCCTGGAATTC